GGAATGCAGAAAGATTGATATCCTCGGCATTAGTGAGCTGAAATGGACTAGTTTTGGCCATTTTGAATCAGACAACCATATGATCTAGTATGCCGGGAATGACAGTTTGAAAAGGAATGGCGTGGCATTCATCATCACAAAGGATGTTTCAAGATCTGTCCTGAAATACAATGCTGTCAGAGAACTTGCTAGAAATGAAAATTCTCGGGGCAAACCCCATCCTATGAATCGAGGACTCCAGTGTGGGGCCTACCAATCTGTTTCACAGCCTTCAAAACAAAACGAAAAACCAAACCCACTGCCATCAAGTCTATTGCAACTCATAGCGACCTCCATTGGTTTTCCAAAGCGGTAAATCTTTTTGGAAATAGATTGCCCCTGCTTCCTTCCTGGGAGTGGCTAGTGGGTTTGAACCACCAACCTTAGGGTTAGTAGTCAAATGCCTTAGGCACTGTACCACCAGAGCTCTTTTCACAGTCTTCCAGGGGATTCTAAAGCTTGGTAACATTTGAGATTCACAGTCTAGGGGTTGAATGGCATACTCATAGGACAAGGGATCCCATTGTGCAGACCTCCACACCTTGCTTTTTTGTTTTTAAACCCATGAGTACTGGGCTTCCTGGGCCATTTAAGTTGGATTTTTTTTTTCTTCCCAGTGTAACCGTAGATTTAACGTAGTTTGGAACTATAAAACTTTTCATATTTTTAAACCATGAAAATAACAAATGAATTCTGAACAATTTTTTTTGCTTCCTTTTGGTCATGATTCAGTTTTGCAGGCACCCAGTTTGTCGGTTTTTGTCAACATAGTATATTAAAACTTTTGTTACCTAGTGCACTATCTAGTTATAAAGAGAACTAAAGCTGATTAAGTTGGACTCTTAAGCAATTCCCTTCTACCTGCAAACTGTAGACTGTCACCTGGCGTAAGTTTCAAACGCCTTTTCCTCCACCCGCACATGCATCTCTAGTTGTGACTTCTGAGGCCTATACGTCACAGCCTTCCTACTATGTCACAGCCTTCCTACTATGTCACAGTGCCTCCAGCGTTCCAGGCGCAGCCGTACATCCCTTGGGAATGCAAGGCGGAGGGCGAGCTCAGTCAGGATGGGTGACTGGAAGGGCTACATCGGTGCAGTGCTGCGGGACCAGCGCATCGACGACGTGGCCATCGTGGGCCACTCAGACAATCGCTGCGTGTGGGCATCGCGGCCGGGGGGCCTGCTGGCGGCCATCTCGCCGCAGGAGGTGGGCATTCTCACCGGGCCAGACCGGCGTACCTTCCTGCAGACTGGCCTGAGTGTGGCGGGCCGCCGCTGCTGCGTCATCCGAGACCACTTGCTGGCCGAAGACGACGGTGTGCTGGACGCGCGCACCAAGGGCTTGGACGGGCGCGCAGTCTGCGTGGGCCACACGCCACGCTCGCTCCTCGTGCTCATGGGCCGGCGCGGCGTGCACGGGGGCATTCTCAACAAGACAGTGCATGAGCTGATTCGCGGGCTCCGCAAGCAAGGCACCTAGCAGGGGCAGCAAGATGGCAACGCCGCGGAGCTGTAATAAACTAACCAGGGCACGATGGACTCATCTTCCCATTGTATGTGAAGAGTTGCGATGACAAACCGGTTTAGGATTGCCTGGTGGGGTTGGGATTATGAGTTCAGATGCTGCCTGGCCTCATGTGCCCTAGGCCTTGCCCTCCCATCCCTGAGGGCCCTGCAGAGGCGCCTGGGCTGATTTCTGTCCTTAGGCTTCTCCCTTGGGCCCCTGGGGTGCTGCTGCAGAGGAAGAGTCCAAGGATATGGGCCTTCTCCTCACACCCTCTAACCTAGGCCTTACAGCCTTTTCCCACAAAAATGCTCCATCCTCCCTTTGATCTCTCCTGGCATACACACCTGCTAGGTAGGGGCTGTGGAGTCAGGGAGCCCACTTAGAGGCCAGTCTACTTCCCATCCTCTCCATTTGGTGGAAGGAAGCACTAGCAAGTGAGGGGATAAGGCAGGGCTGGAGCTCAGAGAGCTGACCTGGGACTCCCAGGTTCCAGCATTTTCCCCATATGCCTCAAAGGGGGAGGGCCCATCTGGAGGGCCCATTACACCCTAGGTCTGAGATGCTACAGCCATCCTACCACCTTCCTCTCTAAGAGGAGTCCCTGTATTGGAGGCAGGAGCTTTGGAATCCACCACTCCTTGTCCCTTCCCCTGCAGGCCTCAGCTCCAGTGCCCTATGGAGAGAGAGATGAAGAGCTTGTATGGGTTTAGGTGAGGCCCACCAGCCACTCCTCAGAAGGAAGACTGGGCAATCCACTGTAGTGATATCGCCTCAGAAACCCAAGGAGGGGTCACTGTGAGTCAGATCCAACTCAATGGCAGTGAGTTTGGTTTCTTTCTTTTTTTTTTTTTTTAAGGAGCTCTGGTAGCATAGTGCCTAAGGCATTTCACTGCTAACCAGAAGGCTGGTGGTTCAAACCCACCAGCCAATCCTCGGAAGGAAGGTTGGGCAATCTACTTCCGTAGTGATACTGCCTCAGAAACCCAAGGGAGGAGTCGCTATGAGTTGGGTCCGACTTGACGTCAGTGAGTTTGAGTCAACAGATTGAGAGACAGATCAAGGAAAACGCTGGCAAAATTGAGGAAAACACAGACAAAACCCTAGAACAATTTCAAAAGACAATACAAGAACAAAATGACAAAATAAATGAAAAATTAGAAATGATACAAAACCTACAGATAGAAATTGACTCTAAGGCAGTGAGTTTGGTGTTTTGGTTTAATTTATTGCTCAAAGGTGGATGGAAGGGTGTCTGGTCTCTGCCCCCTTGTGCTGAAACCCAGGGCTTGGCCTCTTCCATCTATTACCTTCCTCTCCCCTTCCCCCGATGGCCCTGACACTCCCCCACCCACCCACCCCCAGCTCTGACTTGGTTCCTGGAGTACTGATGTTACCCCTGCATAAGGCCGAGGGTGAGATCGAGGGAAGTAAGCTCAGAGGGCAGGGAGAGACCAGAGGAGGGCTAGCCTGGTGGGGGTTGGGAACAGAGCACTTGCCTTGGGGGGGCCCAGGCCCTAGGGATTTCCAGGGAGTTGATTGTGGATTGGCCTCATTAAGGCAGGATCAGGTGGAGAGCTGGGAAGAGCTTGCAGGACCCAATCCTGCAAGACTAACACTGCACTGGCCAGGTGGGGCTGGCTATTGCAGGGGGTCTTTGAAAAGGGAGAAGGTGCTGTTGAACCCCAAGCCAGGTTTTGCCCTCCCCTTAGAGAGAAAAAGACTTCCAAATGCATCATGACAATTATGTTCAATTCTTTTTATTGGTTTCATCAGGCAATGTTCAGGAAGGGGGTTGTAGCCAATGGTGCAGAAAACCTGAGTGAGGCTAAGAAGAAATGGTTATGGAGGAAGGAAGGCCCAGGGAGGGGGTGAGAATTCAGTCAGTGACTCAGGCACCCATATATATATATGCACAAGCAAACAGCTCCACAGTCACGTAATCAGACCAGCCCTGACTGCTGCCGAGCCCCATTGTGTGTACATGAGGACATATAGTGTAGGCCTCCATTCACCTCTAAGGGGACTCGAAATTATCCCCAGGTGCCTTATGACATAAACCCAGTTTCCTGCAGGTGCAGCTGTGCACATGTACAGGGGAACACACGTGTACACAAATACACTCCTGCACAATGACACAGAGACTCACCCCGAACTTGTCTGCAGGCACACACACACACCCATAAACTCAGATCTTGATGGACCTATAAGGACAGACGCACGCCCAGACTGGCACAGACACGCACACAACACCCCTCTGCTTGTCCACCCTGGGTACTGTGCACAGGCCTCCACTAGAGGCGGGTGGCAGTGTGGTGAGCAGGCAGTGCCAGTCGGGGAGAGGGCGTGGCAGGGGGCAGCTCCTCCAGAAAGACCCTGGCAGGCATGGGGGGTGAGCGGGGCTCAGGCCTGGCATAGCACAGGGTGGCACGGGTGATGAGGCGGTCCAGGGG